TATAAATCGTGCAACAACTTGGCATTGCCAGCTTCACCGAATGTTTCCTTGATATCAAGCACAGAGCTACGGAGATCAGCTGAAAGAGCAGAAAGATCACCACCAGTATAGGCATGAAAGCGCTTTCTCGCTTCTTTGATGACATACAGATTATTGGCAACTTAAGCGATATATGACTGTTATTCGAAACTCACCCCCATCGGGGTCACTTTGCTCCTTCGAGGCATCGGAATGCCAACCAAACGATCCATCACGTGCACAAAAATTGCGCGAATGTAGCGCTAAAGTTCAGGGTAAAACGCTTTATCACAGAATAGTACCACATGTTGCGCGAGATTTCCTTCCAGCATAGAGAAACTGTTTCATCAATGTAGGTACTGGTAAAGTCCAATGCAACTGGAAGGGCCAAGACGCCAGCGCGAGCGAATATAAAGACTGAATTTTAATGCTAATGGGGTACTAGAGGAAAGCCCACCTACTTGGTCCATGTATCAGCCATGTTTTTAATTTTTGACCAGACACCTTTTCCAATGCTTCCCACAAATCCTCAGTTACCGTATTCTGATGATTAAATTTTAGAAGATAGTTGTGTACAGAACGGTAGAATATCCAAGATATTCGTACAACATCCGCACGATGCTAGGATTGTGATACGAAAATGCGTTAAAGATTTGATCTGCTTCATCCGGATGATGTACAACTACTTCAATCGGATGAGATGAAATCATTGCATCTTTTACAAACGCTGATCCAAGCATCACATCATGAACAAATGTGTCCCACAGTTTCCATTCTGGGTAGATACGATGCGCCGCATCAAAAGCGAATCCTTCATTTAGCCATAATCCAGTCCACCATGCCATTGTCACTAAACTTCCGAACCACTGATGGGATAGTACGTGACAAATTGCACGCGCTGCATCTGCCTTAATTTCATTTCATAACTACTCAGCTTCTCATCTACAAGTAAAAACGTCTCGGTATATGTCACAAGTCCCCAATTCTCCATCACACCCATAAGTTCTAGAATAGCCACCATTACCAATTTGTTCAATGGATATGGAATTCCAAAAGTCTCAGTGAAGATGG